GCCCGCCAGCGCCCGGCCCGCGCGCGTGGGGGTCCGGCCTCCCCGGCCCACAGGGGCACTGCCCTCTTTCCACTCGCTGCTCCGCACCCGCCTCGTCCTCTGCCCTTTTGCCTGACCAAAGCCGGCAAGGCCGGGAGCCCGCAGCTCCTGGAAACGTGCCTGTGAGCGCACGCGTCTTCGTGACCTGACTGACGACGCGTCCTCGGACAGCGTCAGCGGAGAACGCGCCGGGGAGAGGGCCGGTGGCGCTCGCGAAGCCGGCCGGGAGCCCCCCCCCTCCCCACGAGCTCCGCTCCGCCCCACGGCCGCCTTTGGTCTCAGACTCGCGGCCCTGAAGTTTCTCCCGCGTCTCCCTGCAGGTGAAGGCAGGAGTGGCTTTGGGGTTGCCTCGTGCTGGCCCGGCCCTGTCCCACCGGCATGGGCTTCCCGGCCCTGGCAGGGTCCGCTGGCTCTGTTCCGCGGGCGGTGGCCGGCCAGTGCGGCTCCCGAAATGCCATCTTGGTTGCACTCTCGCCCCGTAACTCCCTGAGATGCAGCCCGGGTGAGCAGCTCCTGTGTCCTGGACTCGGTCCGCCTTTTCTATCACCTCCCTGGCCAGTCCGCCAAGGGGTGGGAGGAGGCAGGTGGGTCCTCGCAGGGCAGCGGGGGCCTCTGCCTCCCCCGTGAAGTGGCCGCCGAGCCGTGGTGGCGGCCCGTCCCGCGGCCTCCGCCCCCCAGCCCCCTCCCGTCCCCGCTTCCCACAGTGCCTGGCGCAGGCCCACCCTGGCAGTCCTGTCCTGCAGATCCTCAACTGCGCCCCTCAGCACCCGCCTCCAGGTGTGTCTGTGGGGCCACCCTCCACCCTGGCAGGCGACTTCTGGAGCAGGCCCGCCTGGCCCCAGGGCGCCCGGCCCGCAGAACCTGCCCCTGCACGCCGGCTCGCCGCCTCACAGGCTTTCCCAGAAAGCGCAGGCTGAGAGCTGGAGAGCGGCAGGGGCGAGGCATGTTCCAGGCCTTTCCAGGGAGGGGCCCGGCCAAGGAGGAAGTGGATGGAGAGTCATTTTAAATCGACCTTGGGCACGCAATGGGCGGACTCGGCAGTTAATTTTCAACTTGTGTGTGTGTCCAGCATCACCAGCTGCGAGCCCGGACCGCGCTCTGCTACACAGACACCCGCTGGGCACCTGCCTGGCGCAGGGGCGGGCAGACGAGGCAGGGCAGGGCCGGCCCCAGCGGAGGGGCCGGTGTGCTCCGGAGCACGGCCCATTTCCTCCTCAGCTCTGTCCCTCAAGAGCTGGGTCCCCAGCGCCGACCTGGACTCTGGGGACGGCCTCCAGTGAGGGCCGAACGCACGTGAGTGAGCCAGTTTGGACACTCCGGGCCTCACGCTCACCGGCCACAGGCCTCCCCACGCCCCAGCCCTCGGCCCCAGGCCCCGCTCGGCTCCTGCCCGCCGTGGCGCTGTTTGAGCCGCACCCACACAGGCGCCGAGGGACACGGGCGAGCACCGCCCCCACACCTCCAGCAGGAAGGTCACCCACCAGGTCGGCGCGACAGCTTCGCCACCAGCTTCTGGGGTGGCTCATCGCGCAGGGACGGGGCGCGGCAGCTGCAGGTGGGGCCCCCGCTGCGTTCCGTTTGGCTCCTTCCTTGACCCTTGCTCCCCCCGGCAGCTGACGTCACCACCCACACGAGGACCACCACCGGCTGCTGTTTTCTGACGGTTTCCATGCAAAAACGCTCCCCAGAGGGTCACAGCCGTGGGCTGTCCCAGTCCGGGTGGCCCTGCAGGTGTGCCCTGGGGCAGGCGGCCAGGGAGCCCGCCACCTGGCTGCCCCGGGCCAGGCCCAAGATGGCCACGGTGGTGCCTGGGGGCACAGCAGCTGCCGAGGCCCGGGGCTCCGGCTCCCGTGGGCTGAGTGAGATGGGGCTTCTCCGGTGCAGGGCCAGAAGCCGCCGGGCCCCTTGCACGGGCCTGGGGCACACGCCTGGACCAGCGGCACAAGGCCAGCCGGACGCAGGGGCTGCAGGAGCAACGCCCTCGGGGAGGCGCGGCACGGTCCCCGCCGGGGCGGCATGTCCTGCCCCACGGCCTGTGCGGACGCCTCCTGCCCCCGTGGCAGCAGGACACAGGAGCCGTGGGCTCGGAGGACACCGCCTCTGGGCGCCTTGCTCTTGAGCTGGCCCCGCACCCCCAGCGCGTCCTCAAACTGGCCACAGAGCTGAGGTCTCCTGTAGGCCTTAGTGGCGGGTTCCGTCGGGAGCAGCAGCAGAGCAGGGAGCCCTCCAGTCACGCCGGCGGCTGGCACGGCGCCCGCCCAGCGGCACTCTCCCCGAAGTCTGACCCCCGCAACCAGGACAGGGTACAGAGCGACTAAAGCCGGGCGCAGTCAGCGGGGGACGCGCGGGTCGGGGCTGTGGCCTCGCCTGGCAGCTGTTCCTGAGACCTCTCAGGCCTCGGGCTGTGTGCCAACCTCAGCTCGTAGACAGGTCAGCCTGGCGCCGTCCACTTCCGCTCACCTCCACGCCAACACCAGCACCAGCCGGACGCTCAGTGGTGCCAGGCTGCGAGCCACAGAGCTGCGTCACGATTCCGCCTGGCGTCCCCCAAGAGCTCCGTCTCTTCGGATCGACGGCCAGCCCCCACCGTGGGCCCCGCCCGCCCTGCCTGCGGCAGGGAGGCAGCAGCGTGGCCACCGCAGGGCTCTTCCGCGGTCCTCCTGCCGCAGGGCCTTTGCAGGTGCCTGTTAGTAGAAGATCCCTCAGCTCTCTGCGCAAATGGTAATTGCTCAAGGAAGCTGATGCCATTTCGGGACTTGATGGCTTTTATGTGTGTCCTGAGCACACTCCGTGGGGGAGCCTGCCCCTCAGGGAAGGGGCTGCGCAGCCTACCCCGCTGGCCCTGTGTCCCCACGCAGCGGGTCCTCGCCTGCGGGCGGTGGGTGGTGGCGCCAGCATCGACAGAGGGACGGCAGAGATGGACGGGTGACCGGCGGGCACTGGATGGCCAGCGTGAATGGCTGGGCAGACGGGAGGGGCGGCCGCACAGTCCCTGGCCGCCACGTCGCCCGCTCACTTTCCATCTCTCACGTGGGCAGCGCCGTGGAGCCCGAACTCTGGCCTGGGCCGTGCGCTCGCAGCGCCCGCCTGTGCCAGGCGGTCCGAGAACTTGCCCTCCCCGAGCGACGCGCCACCTTCGGGCAGCTCCGCAGACACTGGGGGGGGGG